ACCCACTATATTTATAAAAAAGAAACAATATGAAAGCTTAAAATGCAAACCAGAACAGTATAAACACATGGGTTGTTTTAAAGCACAGGTTTGAGCTGCTAAACCCAATGAGGTCGCTCTGAACCCCTGGCCAATACAGCTGGTCTGCTGCACATTCTACAGTGATTCAGTAAGAAAACATTGGACTGGAGCTGCATGGGAAGGTCACAGACTCCGATGTTTCATCACTATTGTCAACATCAAAATCACTTGGCAGAATGATTAAACACAAAAAAAAAAAAAAAATAAAATCTGACTAAGAAAAACTGTCAAGTTATGCATGAAAAATGAGATTAAAGCATCAGTATGAAGGTGACTGCAAATATGCTGACCAGGAAATCACTTCAAAGATAACTCACTAATTGTGGCTTGGATCTGTGGCTTAAAAAATATGTATTTTCTATTTATGTTACATATCCACATTTTTACATTTACACTCCATAATTCAGGCTGAAAGGGCAGATAGAGGTGACAAGTTGTAACAGGCATGTTTCATCTGAGAAAGGAATGAGCCCCTCTATACATTGGGCCAATTTACCCTGGACTATAATACATACAGTTACACATATGCAAAAATGACAGTGGAAAACTAAAGCAGCAATTAAGCCATGAGAATATGGTCAAAAGGTCACTGAAATAAATAAGTATTAAAATCTTACATTATAGGCATGTATAACGTGTAATATCTTAAAACAAAGTAGCAACGCCGCAGAGAGGTAATGTTTTATTTTCTGTACCAATGAAGACTACCAAAGCATGTGACTTGAACAGCTATGACTTCAGAGGTATCTTATGTCCTACTAGGAGGCAAGAGTTTGACAGTGTTAGGACACAGAGCAGAAACAACCAAAACAGATACTACTGTGGCAAATCCAAAGTAATAGTCAGCCTGTGCTGGGCAGCAGAGGGAACATGCAGCGCAGCAGTATCCAGAGTGAGATCAGAGGCAGTCTAACAAATAAGGTGGGTATTCTACCTTGAGAAGCAAGCAATCACTCACTTGATGGAAATACTAGCAAGCAATTCCAACTCCTTTAGATGCTATCAGCACCTCCAGTGGCTGCCACCACAATGCTGAGTCCAGGGCAGGAAAAGGGAATTATTTTGTTTTAAATTTTTAAAATAAACGCATCAGGAAACTAGGCATAGCAATCATTTTTTCCATTACATTGACTCTCAATTTAAAACACTAAGGGTAGTGTTTACATTTCTGGTGCAAAAAGAACAGTTTTATCAAAAATTAAGCAAATTTCTCACTGACAAACTGAAATACGTGACAGCACTCAGAAGCACCACACCATTGATTCCCTCCATCTGAGAAGGTCAGGGCCACCTTCTACTCTAGTGAAAACCTCAAACCTCATCTAATGCTGGGAAGAGAAGAGTCTAACTCAGCCTCTTGGCTTTAGCCTGTACTCCATTTCTGTACTGTATTTCAGTCCAGTAAAACCCAACCCTAGCAGTAGCTGCTGCATGACCAAACCTAGCTCTTCATGAAAAGTGATTTCAAAGGGTTTTTTGTCTGTAAGTCACCACCACCCCAGTTAACGGAGCAGACCTCACCGTTTGGACCCCGCACCCTAAACTCCTACAGCTCCAGAGCAGCAGCTCCCCTCTGCCTGGGTGCGCCGGCGGGGCGACTCACGCGGGTCGAAGCAGGGTCCCTTGCCGTTCCCAGCTCTTCTGGAAATGCAGCTCCTCAAGAAAAGCTGTTGAGCCCACACAGAGGTTCCTTCTGGAACAGAGGACCTAACCCTGGGACTACACTGCTCCTGTTGCACCCTCACCAAGAGGTCCACCCCCTGCTCCTCCTCCCTGTCTGACAGTTCATGGAGCTCATGGCATTCCACAGGGCTTTTTCCCTCTCCACGAGCTGGTGAGACTGTTAACCCTTTCCTTGGAACGACAGTAATGTCAGTTTTTCAATCTAAGGAGCCATAGTGCTTTTGCTTCCACTGCTACTGTTGCAAGTCCATCTGAAAAACACAGTAAAACCCCTCCATGCCTGTACTTGATGCTTTCTGCTTCAGCTTTTCCTGCTAGGCAGCTCCAGTTCAAAAATACCTGTTAGAAGTAATGAAGTGACCACCTTTCAACAGCTTCTCTGACAGTACTTGTTCCTTATGCTAAGCATTATTTTCCATCTTTCTCAAGTTGCTAGTATAAGACCTGTTTTACAAAGTTATAAAAATTTAACATATAAAGGTTGTTGCCACATAAAATGAGTAGGCTCAGGCTTTCATCAGTGTTTAAAATTGACTACTTAAGTCTGATAATGGAAATATAACACCTAATTAGGAATTCTCTGATTAATCATTATTCTTTGCCATCTTGGATATTGCTTTGATAAATGAGGCTTAGGATTCTTATGAGCTTCTAACTACCAACATGCCAGATGGCTAAGAGTTGTACACAAAGCTTCTCTGGCTACATAGAGCAATGGAAGACATTTATATTATTAGTGGCTCTAAATGCATACACACATACCCAGGTTGCCTTAACATCAGCTAACCGTGATGGCAGCTCCACAAAAAAAGAGGCACACCGCTCACACAATGCCTGGCCAAGGCAGCAGGTAGCACACCCTACACCTCTCATGAAACCCATTCCATATCTAGGGTTACAAGACCAGTACTACATTCAGGAGATGGGCACCCAGAGCTTAAAATTACAAGAGACTCCTTTTGTCACCATGTGAAGCTTCAGGGCACAAGGAGATGTCTCTAAAGCTGCCTACAAAGATACCATTTAAAGGACATCCAAAGGACTACATAGCTACATAAAGCAAAAAAATGCTGTTGTGCCAAATGAAGTAAACTTTTCCTTGCAGGGGAGAAGCGAATAGAATAACAATGTGACAAAGCACCACGGAATAGCACTGTGGCACAAGCAGCCATCCTCATAGCGATTCAGATAAGCAGTTCCACTGAGCTATCAAACCAACTTCCCTTCTTTGAGAAGTCGCAGCATGTGTTTCCAGCCAGCTCGTGGTGAAGCGCAGAGCAGCCTGCAGTCAGTAAACCAGCAGACCCATTTCTGCACGCACTCGCTTCCCCACAGTGCCACAGGGAGCTGCTCCAGCTGTAGCCATGACATTAACTGCATTGCTGAGCAGCTTCCAGCGCCCCTTTCTTAATTTCTGAGTAGCCATGTGTTGAAAGCAACGCTCTAAGAAACGTTAAATTACCAGAAATGAGAGTTGCAGTCCATTGGGAGAGATTTAGCTTTACCAAGCTAAAAATGTCAGGTTGCAACAGTTCACATAAAAATGCAGTAAAGCAGCTTCCCCTCTTCAGATGTGTCCTGCTTTCAGAAAGTCATGGCATCTCTCTCATTTCTAGCAGATATGTCCTCCTTTGTCTCATGATACCAACTTCAACTTTTAAACACAGACTCCTGAACTGTTTGCATCCTCCCTCTTCCACCAAATTAGCGTTGCTACAGTTTGCTCAGCGAGCTACAACAAAAGCACCAACTTCTCAGCATCCTGATCTTCAATAGTGGGAAAAGACAGGTATTGAACAATACAAACTAGACCTAAAAATATTCAATTGCAGATAAACTCATCATCTGGCACATGTGAGTGTTTGGGTAAGTGATGAAACCACCTCTACATCCAGTGAGACATTAGCATACAACAAATCAGCAAATGCAGTTTGGACCACAAGCAGTGTTTGCTGACTGCAGAATTCACAGGACTGTATTTGTACTAGCCTGATTCACTAAACTTCCTTGAGAAGGCAAGTGGTCTCAAGTACCTTTAAAAATCAACCAGAGGAATAAACTAATTTTAGGATCATACTTCTAGAGACTGAGAGACGGATTTGCTCAATATATCTACTACGTAAGCCTGATTACTCTTGTTTGCAGTTCAAAGGAATAAAAGCAATCTCATCTGTGGCTAATCTTCGCAAATTTTAGGCAGCTCTATTCAAAGGATAACCCTCTTCCTATCCCAAGTATGCCGACTGCATCTTTTGGTGATGCATGAGAGCCCCACCACACAGCTCACTATCTTCTTTTGTAGAAATCAAATGGAAGGAAGTACTTGGGAAAATCTTGGAAAAAACAGTCTGTTTAACATAATCTACCTTGAAAAAAACCTCCTGTAACTCTTGGTTTCACTTCACCAAGTAAGAAAGACTATAACCACAGCTGCCAAAGCGTTTGGCACATCTCATTTCTCTGCAGTCAGTGATTTGCAATCTGATAGCATCTTACAGACTCAAGAATTTTTTCAGGCATTTGCAGTAAAGCTCATGTAGGCAAATAGATTTATCATCTAGTGCTGATCATGTTGGAGAGAATATTTTATTCACTGTAGAGATTAATTTAGATTGACTTCTCTCCAGCCTAAACTCACCTGAAAATGCAGCAAACCTGTTTCCATGGTTCCTGTCTGGGGATTACCAGATCTTGCAGAGTTCCAAAATGCAGATATAAAACTCCTCTGGCTGACTCCAGAACTGAACTTTACTGTGTTTTCCATTTTGTATCTTAAGATAATTTGTTACACAGACAAACAGAGAGAATCTGTACTAGAAATCCGAATCAAACATCCTTCACCATATAAGTAAGCATTTAGACTGTAAACTAAAAGTTAGTCCTTCTAGCTTTGTGGAGAACTTGATCAAGTCTCCATTTAGGAGACAAGACCAGAGTGAAGATTTTTCCCTGCTAATTCTCCCCAAGGTTTATGTGTTTATGTATTTTTGGCTGATGGAGGCAAAATCAACAACAAAGATAACAGAAAATATTTTTTGCAGCTGCAGTACAAACCCAGTCCAACCATGGAACTGCAAGCTTACAAATAAACCTGCAACAGGTTTGTGTAACCCAGAGCTCAGGTATCTCGACTTCTACAACATACTACACATCCGACAGTACTAACGCCTCACTGAAATACATTTTTAAACCTTCAAATAACAAAATCTCAAAACAAATGAAGGCCATTTACTCACACAGGTTACTTTCCGGTAAATTTGAGCAGCATTCTGGCATTCTGAGTAAGGGTATTCTGAGGTAGCCATTTCCAACATGCACATTCCAAAAGCATAGACATCCACAGACTCATCGTAGTGTTCCTCATACATTTCTGGGGCCATAAATTCTGGTGTACCTACACAGACACGCACAAAAAGAATGAGAATGTTTAATAAAGTCTAAATGGCTTTAACCACAGTCTTTTCCACCTGTAAGAACCGTGCCCATTATAGTTGTGTAGAGGTGCATGCAAGATGATTTCAAAAGAGGGAATTAACTAGAATCAACTCAAGCATTCTCCAGGGAAGGAAGCCAAAGTCAACTCACACATGTACATATCTATAGCTCACTAATAGTAATGCAAGGGGATAAAAAAGGTGGTCAACAGCTCAAAAATTAACATGAGAATGAGATATGGCACATTGCCTGACCATACTGGAAGTCCTGAAATGGTTCCTCTTTGTGGGTGGAGAGAGGAATGTGTACATGCTTGTGGAGATGAAAAGGAGAGAAGGAATAAGAACCTTCACCCGTTTTTATCAAAGCAATTTGTTTCCTCCAGAGATACACCGCAACCACCCAGCAGACAGACAGTGCTTTGAAAGCAAGTAGTACCACAAATCACCTACAAAGTCACGCACAGAACATTAAACCCATTTCTGTCACTGGTTTAGTGGGACAAATCAATGAGGCTACTCACAGAATAAGGCCCTCAAGAGGGATTAGAATGTCAGAAATCTGATGCAACCGGATAAATATTAAGTGAGCCAAAGTACCTACTGCTTCATAATGGGAAGTTGCAGCATTATGACATGCAGCGACTTACAACACCTGCAGTGTTTGCACAACAAACTACTCTGAGAAGTGTAATCTTACAAAGCAAAAGTGAAAAAAAAAAATATTAATGCTTAGGTAATTTATTCCAGGAACTTGAAGGGTCAGTACTGGGTCCAGTCTCATTCAACTTCTTCCTCAATGACCTGGATGAAGGGACAGCATGGACCCTCAGCCACTGTGGTGGTGATAACAAACAGGGAGGAGTGGCTGACACACCAGAGCTGTGCTGCCATTCAGCAAGACCTTAACAGGCTGGAGAGTTTGACGGAGGGGAACCTCATGAAGTTCAACAAGGGCAAGTGTAGAGTCCTGCACCTAGGGAGGAATAACCTCATGCACCAGTACAGGTTAGGGGTTGACCTGATGGAAAGCAGCTCCATGGACTAGGATCTGGGAGTGCTGGTGGACAACAAATTCAGCATGAGGCAGCAAATCACAGAATCATAGAAAGTCTGGGCTGGAAGGGACCTCCAAAGGTCATCTAGTCCACCCCCCCTGCCATAAGTAGGCACATCTCCAACTAGATCAAGCTACTCAGAGCCTCATCAAGCCTGATCTTGAATGTCCCCAGGGATGGGGTCTCCACCACCTGTCTGGGTAGCCTGTTCCAGTGGTCTATCACCCTCATATTGGAGAACTTTTTCCTAATGTCTAACCTAAATCTCCCCTTTTCTAGCTTAAAGCCATTACCCCTCGTCCTGTCACTCCAAACCCTTGTGAATAGTCCCTCCCCTGCTTTCTTGTAGGCCCCTCTCAGGTACTGGAAGGTTGTTATAAGGTGACCCCGGAGCCTTCTCTTCTCCAGGCTGAACAGCCCCAACTCCCTCAGCCTGTCCACAAAGGAGAGCTGCTCCAGCCCTCTGATCATTTTTATGCCTTTCTGCTGGACATGCTGAGCTCCCCAATTCAAGAGAGACAGGGAACTACTGGAGAGAGTCCAGTGGAGGGCTACAAAGATGCTGAGGGGACTGGAGAATCTGTGACAAAGAAAGCCTGAAAGACCTGGGGCTTTTTACCGTGGAGAAGACCGAGAGGGGATCTTCTCAATGCTTTTCAATATCTAAGGGGTGGGTGTCAAGAGGATGGGGCTGGTCTCTTTTCAGTGGTGCCCAGTGATATGACAAGGGGCAACAGACAAACCAGGATGCAGGAAGTTCCCCCTGAAGGAAAATAAGGAAAAATTTCTTTACTTTGAGGGTGATGGAGCCCTGAAATAGGCTGCCCGGAGAGACTGTGAAGTCTCCTTCTCTGAGATTTTCAACACCTACCTGGACACAATCCTGGGCAACCTGATCTAGGCGAACCTGTTTTAGCAGAGGGGTTGGACAAGAAGATCTCCAGAGGTCCCTTCCAACCCCTATCACCCTGCAATTCTGTGAACTGTATCTCGTAACGTAATTTATGCACAGGAGTCAAGACTGATTTCCTTTTCACATTTAGAAAAGATGAAAGTAGAGAGATCGATGCAGTGTTATGGGAGAGAATCAGCATGCTGTGAGCACTGGGATTCCAAAAGGAGCATGAGAGGTCTCAGACCACTTGCAGAACTCAAGACAAACTGCCTATCCAACCCAACAGCATCGGCACCCACACTGCCCTCCAGAGCCCTGCAGCAGCCCCAAGGGTCTGTTAGGTTTCTATTATGACATCTCTACATCAGCAGCAAAAGCATAACTGTAATTAAAGTAACATATACCGAGGAGAAAACAGTTCTCATACATGTTTGGGAACTTAATGTAAGCTTTTCTATTTAGTGGCAACATAAATGAAATCTCTCAAAATTAGTGTCTCTCAGTAAAAACTCCACTCATGCACATTTTCTGAACTAGACTTAGCCCATCTCACAAAACAAACCTCAGCACTAGCATTTCTCTAGAATTCATTTTGCAAAACTTGGGATCGAACTCTACAGGTTTTTTTTGTTCCTTCCACCTCAAAGACACTCATTCTGAAATGAAAATCAGTCTTTTGTAAAAAAAAAAAAAACAATCTTTTGTATATCAGTTGGCCCCATGTCATGAAAACTTAACTTAGCAACTGTTCATTGGGTTCTTCTCCCAGCTGTCACACAGGTGGTGGCTGCTGCTACTCTGAATGGTTAACAACTGCCAGAGGGAATGTTTTCTGGAGCTGCTACTTTATTTTAGAAGGAACAAGACTCAGAGGCAAGAGTGAATCTCATTAATTACAAAGCATCTAAAGCAAATCTGAAAACCTGATAGTGATAGTCTAAGAAGCAAGTGAAACTCTTGACATGGTTCCAAAACAGCATGAAAATAAAATCTTCCACCCATCCCTTGCAGGTTGGAAGGAATATATGTTTGTTTAAGTATCCTTAAACAAAACAGACCACCTAAATGGAAAGCCACTCAGCATTTATTCAGCTCCTCTTGGCAGAAGTTCTGCCCTGGCTCAGCTCCCTGCAGAGCTACACCGCAAGGTCAGACGAGCATTAGTGGTGGCATGAACGCAGCAAGGGTACAACTGGACCTCAGCCATGCTGACGTCATTACCTTCCAGCCAGTGTAAAACTGCAGCTACTAATGGTCCTTTAAAGCTACTACATGGAGGGGGCATGAATTACTCATCTCACCATTGTCTCCAAGCCGTCCTCATTCTTTCCTTAGAGCAGTACTACTTGTGAAAAAGGTAAATTTGTTTACATTGCCAAAATGATGCAGGCACCTTGCCAACAACCTGCAGCCCTGCTCAGTATTGAATTTCCTTTAGATATGAGCATGCTTTGATGGTGTTGTTGTAAAAACTATTACAAAAATTTGTACTGGTATTATTGATATTATTCCATGATGTCCCATGGACAATTATATTGCAAAAAAAAACCAACCTAGAGAAGCTTAACAGATATAAAACAATGTGATTTCACTAAAATAAACAAGGTTAAGCAGACCCACAGTAGCCAAGTACATATCATTTTTGCTTCAACAATATCAGGCTCCCTGAGCATTAATAGTTGATATTTTTGTAAAAATAATTGTAAAGAATCATGATTTCTGAAAATTTGAGACACTAAAGTATTTAAGCAACTACTGCTTAAAAGATTCCGATCTGTTCTCATATATAGTAAAGGAAAAGTGGTTGTCACTATCAGTTTGCTAACTCTAATTACCTAGAGTCTAATTTCCATTTATTTTGTAAGATAAAATACTACTGTGTGCATGGTAACTCCCCCCACTTTTAGCACCGTTTCTCAGGAATTTGCAGCTTCCTAGAATCATCACAGATCCAAACAAGGGAGATTTGCTCTGGAAGCTTGGGTTAAAAACACAAAGCATTTGAGAATTCAGGAAAACATTTACACAGAAAACATTAAATGTAACTTTTGGAAGGAAATTATGTCCTTCGACAGTCATTCAGAAAACATCCTCCCAGTTCAAGCAAACCCAAGTTCTAACACTCCTCATGCACACACCACCTAAGGGTACCAGCTACTGCATATCCTAGTGGAAATGTCTTTTAGTTTTGTATCTACTTATTTGCAATAAACTGCAGATGTTGTTTCAGCAGAACTCTGCCAGGACAGTGTCGAGGCAGGGACGAGCTCTGCTGTTGCCTGCAGAGAAACAGCCTGTTCTGCTGATGCCCCAGTAAATGGTGAGAAGGTGTTCCAGCAAAACAAGCTCACCAACGACCTATCTGCAAAGGAGAGAATCCTCTCCCTTCAACAAAAGTAACCATCCCTAGTCCAGCATCACGGGAAAACTTCCCAGGGGCTTTCCCAGGCTTCTCCAGCACTCCCTGTTAGGGAGAGAGAACAGGGCATCCTTTCTCTTCCCTCTCCTACCTTCTTCTCCCCACCCAGCAGGCAACAAGCGTGCTCTTAGGAGGAGGAGGAGGCACACAAGCTGCTGAGAACCCCTGCTGCTCCTTTTGAAGGAGAGGGGAGAAGGATTTGTGGATACCAAGTAATATTGAGAAACACAACAACAAAAAAAAATTCTACCATTGTGGTACAGAAAGAAGGAGAAGGGGAAGTCATGATACCATTTCCTACTGATTGAGATATTTTATAGTGGTATAAAGGGAACAGTCACAAAACCACATTAATCTCTACTCCCCAGCAACAAGTGGAAAAAAAACTCCACTCATGCAAAACGTGAAAGAAAGATCCTAAAAAGACAACCACCATACCAACACAAGGAAGCCACAGAGAACAGGAAGATTACCTATTACACTTTTGGCAAACGAAGCTCTCTTGAGGGTTGCCAGACCCAAGTCTCCTATTTTCACAGATCCAGTTGGTCCAGTAATAAAAATATTGTCACATTTTAAGTCTCTGTGAATTATTGGTGGAGTTCTTGTGTGCAAGAAAAGAAGACCCTTCAGGATTTGCCGGCACCAACTCCGAAGGACTTTTGGCTTCATCACTTTAAATCTCTTCAGATATCTAGAGCACAAACACACAGAGAATTGGGTATACAGGAAATGAAGCAGTATTACAGATTCTCGGGGCTTTAACAGCTAAAACTCCATTCTGAATAAAAGCCCCTCATTAGATGCCATAATACCAGCTAAGAAATATCACAAAAATTGAAGGAAATGGATCTTCTCAATGGAGGAATTAGAGCATTCAGTCTTCGAGAGAATGATAATAAGCATTTCTGGTGCAAATACAACCAAATATTTCCAAGTCTAATAGTACAGCCATTCACTTCGTGCAGAGAACAGATTTAGAATATGTTCCATATATTCAAAACAGAAGAATACTGGAGTTTATTTTTAACCACAAGACTTTGACCTCTGTACCATGCACCTGCATTTTTCCCATTTACCTAAAACACGGTTTAGGAGGGTACATTTTGGAAAAATGTGGAACCTGCTAATGCACTGTCAGAGTAGTACACTGGATGTATGCAGTGATGAGTACTGCTCCCATTGGGCTGAAAATCTGTTCCACAATCCATGCCAACTGCTTTATATCAAACTTAACAAGACTGCCAGGACTGAAAGCTATTAATTAATGTTGTTTAGTAGATAACCTAGACCACCTTCTGCTTCACAAAGAGGTTCTACCATTCAAGTGCTACTCTCTCTGAACCTTCTAACAAAACATGCAAATACAAGCAGAAAAGCAATCACAAAAGCACACTGTGACACATTAAAATGTCACAGGCAGGAGATGAAACACATGGAGAGCAGCTTCTAGTTGCATAACTGAAACAGGAGAGCAGGGCAAGAG